AGGAACTAGTAACCCCTTCTCCTGTATATATTACTAAATCTAAATGGAGAAATTTTCGTTTTTTCCTTTTGGGCCACCCTGCCTCGGTGGGATACGGTCAGTTTGTTATATATTTTTAGCATCGTATACTCTAGCATATTTAATGACATAGAGAACTAACTTCTGTGAGTTTCATGAAGATCAGTCTGTGAATAAATGGTTAATAAAACAGACTCATTGATAAATGAGACACTTGTGTAGACTTTGGGTATCTCTATTCTGAAAACGTTTCACCTCATGGTGGCTTCTTCAGTCCAGTGTAGAAAAAGGTAGAATAAGAGGAGAGTTTGAGATAATCAGTCCCTCAGCCTTGAGTCAATGTGTTCAGTCCTTCAATCTTGACAAAAGTGCAGCATATTGGAGGTGATGGAGCTTATATACTGACGAGAGGTGAGGTGAAGCAGTGGTAGACGGAGTCACCAGTGAATAAAGGAACTAATGGAAGTAAGTCGTGTCTATAGATTAGACAAGTGTTGAAGAAATCTCTGCATCAAGATCCCAAGATGTTGCTGTGTCCGACAGGATGTGAATAAATGGTTTACAAAACCGACAAGTTGATAAATGAGACACTTGTGCAACAGATGGTTATCTTTATTCTGGAAACGTTTGGCCATGCACTGGCTTCTTCAGTCCAATGTAGAAAAAGGTGGAATAAGACTAGAAGTTTTGAAGTAGTGGAGTAGTGGAAGTAGGTCGTGTCTATAGATTAGGCACGATCTACTTCCACTAGTGCCTTTGTTCAATGGAGACTCCACCTACAACTGCTCCACCTCACCTCGCCTTACCTCACCTCAGTATAAAAGCTCAATCACCTCCAATATGCTGCACTTCTTTCAAGATTGATGGACTGAACACATCGACTCAAGGCTGAGGGACTGATTACCTCAAACTCCTCCTCTTATTTCACCTTTTTCTGCATTGGACTGAAGAAGCCACTGTGTGACGTGAAATTTCCAGAATAAAGACACGCAAATGTTGCAAAAGTGTCTCATTTATCAAGATCAGTCAATTGGTTCTCGCGTGGAAAGACAGTTATTTACAGTTCAGAATATTTTGTCGGTATCCCCATAACATTTTTCACCGGTTCTTGTATTATAACAGAGAGATCAGCCAGGTTCCTGTCACTGCCTCTCCCTGGTTCTGGTGTTATAACAGAGAGATCAGCCAGGTTCCTGCAACTGCCTCTCCCTGGTTCTGGTGTTATAACAGAGAGATCAGCCAGGTTCCTGTCACTGCCTCTCCCTGGTTCTGGTGTTATAACAGAGAGATCAGCCAGGTTCCTGTCACTGCCTCTCCCTGGTTCTGGTATTATAACAGAGAGATCAGCCAGGTTCCTGCCACTGCCTCTCCCTGGTTCTGGTGTTATAACAGAGAGATCAGCCAGGTTCCTGTCACTGCCTCTCTCTGGTTCTGGTGTTATAACAGAGAGATCAGACAGGTCCCTGCCACTGCCTCTCCCTGGTTCTGGTGTTATAACAGAGAGATCAGACAGATCCTTGCCACTGCCTCTCCCTGGTTCTGGTGTTATAACAGAGAGATCAGATAGGTCCTTGCCACTGCCTCTCACTGGTTCTGGTGTTATCACAGAGAGATCAGACAGGTCCCTGTCACTGCCTTTCCCTGGTTCTGGTGTTATCACAGAGAGATCAGACAGGTCCCTGCCAATGCCTTTCCCTGGTTCTGGTGTTATCACAGAGAGATCAGACAGGTCCCTGTCACTGTCTCTCTCTGGTTCTGGTGTTATAACAGAGAGATCAGACAGGTCCCTGCAACTGCCTCTCCCTGGTTCTGGTGTTATCACAAAGAGATCAGACAGGTCCCTGCCACTGCCTCTCCCTGGTTCTGGTGTTATAACAGAGAGATCAGACAGGTCCCTGCCACTGCCTCTCCCTGGTTCTGGTGTTATAACAGAGAGATCAGACAGGTCCCTGCTACTGCCTCTCCCTGGTTCTGGTGTTATCACAGAGAGATCAGACAGGTCCCTGTCACTGCCTTTCCCTGGTTCTGGTGTTATAACAGAGAGATCAGCCAGGTTCCTGCCACTGCCTCTCCCTGGTTCTGGTGTTATCACAGAGAGATCAGACAGGTTCCTGCCACTGCCTCTCCCTGGTTCTGGTGTTATAACAGAGAGATCAGACAGGTTCCTGTCACTGCCTCTCCCTGGTTATGGTGTTATAACAGAGAGATCAGACAGGTTCCTGCCACTGCCTCTCCCTGGTTTGGTGTTATAACAGAGAGATCAGACAGGTTCCTGTCACTGTCTCTCCCTGGTTCTGGTGTTATAACAGAGAGATCAGCCAGGTTCCTGTCACTGCCTCTCTCTGGTTCTGGTGTTATAACAGAGAGATCAGCCAGGTTCCTGTCACTGCCTCTCCCTGGTTCTGGTGTTATAACAGAGAGATCAGCCAGGTTCCTGTCACTGCCTCTCCCTGGTTCTGGTGTTATAACAGAGAGATCAGCC